CTAGCGCACTGCCTATCAAGGCGGGATTTGGGTATCAGGCGTGGGGTAATACAGCAGCGGCAGCAGCAGTGTATCATGGAGCGTCCGGTGAGGCGGGAGGATCCGGCCATCCGACCGTGTGTGTGCGAGTGCGAGTCGAGGCATGTGTGCGGGTGTGTGTGTGGAAGACGGGTGGAATGGCGGAGTGGCTGGCTGTGACGGAGGGAGTGGGAGTGCAGAGGTGATGTCGGCCTTGTCACCCGTCTGTGAAGCGCTCCACCAACGGCTCAGCCTTGTTTCGGAAGCGACGCGCCTTGGCCGCATTGGGCCGAGGGCGCGTCACGTGACACGCATGTGCTTGTGCTGCCACGGGCCTTGCAAGACGGGCGCTGAGCGCGAGTTGAGCACGAGCAGATGCAAGCCACGTCTTATGTCTGCATCAGCTTGGGGACTTGGGTGGATGCCGGCGGTGCAGGCACAGGCACAGGCACAGGCGTCGTCCCCATGCCAACCGCGCGGACCGCCGGGCGCTCATGGACAGCGCGACCAGAAGCAACCATGGTAAACCTTGTGCGGTTCAGCGTGGCAAAGCACAAAGCAACGATGCACACGTACATTGGCGAATCTTGTGCTGCGTGTACGTGTATTGTGTGTATAGGCGGGACTCGAGGGCGGCGGTTCCGCGTTCTAGAAACTTGGCACGGCATCAGAGGGAGGCGGAGGCGAGCGGGCCGCAGCAGCAGCGTCAGTGCCGCGCGGGTGTTGACGTTTCTGTTGTTGTTGTTGTTGTTGTTGTTATTGTTATTGTTATTGTTATTGTTATTGTTATTGTTATTGTTATTGTTATTGTTATTGATGGTGTTGTTGTTGTTGTTGTTGTTGTTGTTGGTGTTGTTGTCGTCGCCGTCGTCGTCGTCGTTGTTCTTGGCGAGGATGATATTGGGGGTATTATTGGCGCTGGCAAGTATAGGCTGCTACTATCAACACGCACCGGGGCGCAGCTGCTAGCGGCGTGGGTGGCGTGGGTAGACGTCATGTCTGGATCGCCGTGATGCGGCACAGGGACCGGCGGGCAGCCTCTCCACTCACACTCATTCATCGCCAGCCATGTGCATGCAGCGCCTGGCCATGGCTGCGAGACAGGGATTTCTGCCATGCTTGACGTGCATGTGCAGCGGTGCATGTGTGCGCGCGCGTGTGTGTGTGTGTGTGTGTGTGTGTGTGTTGCGCGCCCCTGCGGCCCCTTATATGCCCGCCACCATGCGTCGCCATCGTCGTCGCCCGTCCTGCCCAGCCGCAGCAGGCCGCCAGCATGCTGCGACGAATGCCCACCGACATGGCCGCCGACGACACCGCGGGCCCGCTGCTGAGGAGGGCCAGCAAGAGACAGCGGGTCGTCAACTTCTTCCGCGCCTGGAAGCAGAGGCAATCGCTGCCTCGCGCCAACAAGCCGGTATGTCTGGGCCCCAGCTGCCCTCTGCTGCCTGTGACATGGCACGTTGCCGAATACGATGCCACGACGGCTGCCCGTTGCCATGGCCCAAGACTGACAGGTGCTATATACAGACACCCACGCCCACCAAGCCCAGCCTCACTGACGCTGACATTGACACTGACGCCGGCACTCGCCCTCGCACTGGCACTGGCACTGGCACTGGCACTGGTCCCGCCCCGCAACACCACCAGAGCCCCTCGTCGCGCCATGGCAGCGGCAGCGGCAGCGGCAGCGTCATTGCCCCCGACGACCCCCCGCCCCCGCAAACATCCTCCTCCTCACAAGACACGAGACATCACCACGCCGACGCCCTGACCGAGGCCCAGTTCCACGCCCTCTTTGCCGGCGCCCCGCAATTCGCCCTCGCAACCCTCAACGCCCGCTGCACCCCCACAGCCTCGTTTCCCTGGAGCACCGAGGCCGCCACCAAGGATGCTACTGACACGGCGCCCCTCGCAGAGCCTGCCTTCTCGGCTGCCACGCTGCACAAGCACAAGCTCAAGACCCAGCCCCTTTCCGACACGCCCAAGCGGTACAATGGCTATGCCGTCGACGCGCTCGAAACGCCTTGCATGCTCGGCATCCACGGCATCGAGCCAGGAACAATTGGCTTCGCACACTTCCTCGACCTGCCACACGCCGATGTCCTTCTCAGCGAACCCCACGCATCTCCCTCGACTGCCGACGTGGCCGAGTCGGACAAGAACAGGGACATGCTGCAGACTAACCCTGAGCGCCTAGGCATCCGCCTAGTCGACCTTGGCCTGGTCTATGATCGCCTGTGTGAGTTCCAGGACATGTACGAGGCCTTCCACGATAGCCCAGAGCCCATGACAATCCTGAATAACCAGTCGTCGGGCGACTTGTATGCCAATCTGTTCACCAAGTTCCTGACTCCTCCTGGCTACGACGGCGCAACCGAAGACCCCACAGGCTTGCAAACACAGATTGCTGCGCTGCTGCGCGTCCTGGCTCTCAAGGGCATCTGGTACGACTTTAGCCTCGTCGAGTGGAGGATCAGACTGGGCCAGATACTGTGGACTGAACCAGAGCCAATACCCGACCACGAGCCCCAGCCCCTGTGGACAGAGCGCGATATTCTGCTGCTCCAAATCACCTTGGCGTGCGAGTTGCTGCTGCGGCTCGATGCCTACACAAACGCCGACGCTGCCGATGCCGCTGTCCGACTACGAATCAACCCTCAGGACGTTGAGGCGTTTCTCCAGTACAAGACGCGAAAGATTGACTGGGATTTGGTTCTTGCTCGCACGTTTCTGGACAACATTGCTATCATGAGAGGCAACGACGCGCAGACATCGCCAAAGCCCAAGTCGGGCGGATTATTGTCACTGTTTGCACAGAATGCCCATCATGAGTTGCCCCAGTCCGATCTCATCTTATTCCCACAGCACCAGGCTCGACAGATTGCTGGGTTCCATCAATTCGCCTCTGCCATACAGTGGCCTGGACTCGACGTGGTTTCTGCCGAACTCGTTCGAAAGTTGGCCCCTCACGACAAGAGCGAAGCTTCCACGCCATCTCCAAGCGGCAGATCAACCGACCCAGCGTCTCCAGCTGGTATCAGCGTATATGGGACGCCACTACAAACGCCGCTAACCGCCGGCCAGCAGCTGGATAGCTATTTCGGGCATCTAGGAAAGCCGGCGCTGAACCGCAACAACTCGCGGGCTTTCCACATGGCCCTTTCCCCGACCTCTGCAGTTACCCAAGACCAGGCCAAGCCTGTTGTAAACAACGTCGGTGGATGGCTGAGCCGGTCGTACTTGACGGGACTGGTGCTTCCCGGAGAAGCCATTTCTCACTTTCTCATTTCGACACTGCTTGAAAACGATGCCATTGCCATTGCGAATCTGGGCGAGTCTGCTAACCTGTATGGTGGCTTCACTTTTGGTGGGAGAACTTTCTGGAGCAAAAACTCGATTGTTGGGCGCATACTGGCTTGCATAAAGGGCTCCTCGGAGTGCATGGGCTGGGTGTCTTGTCCAAAGCTGCCGGAAAGCTCAACCGAACGTTGGTACTCGATTCACAGCGAGATGCTACCCTACGAAAAACGGGCGCGGCAACGAGACGGCGTTGACCTTGTCGCACAAGACTCAGCAATAGTCCCAAACGATTCCATAGTTCCCGTCAAGTCGGAGGACTTTGTACTTCCCCGGGACCTTGACCCAGTTCCCGTGTCCTCTGTTGGCTTCTCGCAGTGGGAGCTCACCCCCATGAATCCAGACCTCATCGATGGCGACAGCGTGACAGGGCCACCAACCGAAGGCGACATCCACTCTCCGTCCATGACGTTTGTTTCGGGCGACGGTGTGAGCCACACACTGACCCTTGGCTACGATATTCAGTTTGTGACGTCTTGGCCTTGTACGCCAGCCACATCGGCGCCCCCGTTTACACATCGACCAAGAGTTTTGAGACGGTCCGTTACAGGGACACTGTCGAGGTCTTCATCGAAACACAGCGAAACCATGTCTCGGCGCAACAGCCATGGCTTCGAGCCGCTCTTGTCACACCCGCCAGACGCTGCTGACAATGCGCCAAGACGTATGTACGATGCGCCTGTCGACCCAGCGATCGAAGGACTCGCGGTGAGCAGTAAGCCTCTATACGCACACCTGCTTCACAAATCGTACCCGTACAAGATTGTGCCGGTAACGGACATCCTGGATCCCGACTTTTTACTTCCCTTTGATTTGCATACTTCAAAGTCAAGCGAACGTTTACTTGGCCTGTCGGAGAGTTACGATAGCGAAGTGGAGAAGATTAAAGAGAAGAAGAAGGCGGTACTTGTGCTCGATGCTCGCGCATCTTCTGATCTTGAAGTTCTCGCGCGAGCTTGGTGTGCCGAGAGGGGCCTTGATGCTCTCATCAGCCGCACAGGAAGGACTTGTCTGGGTTGCTCCATCCGCGAAGCCAGAGGCCTCGGCATTCACATTGTTATCCGGGTTTAGCTGGCAAGGCCTCGATACTGGATGGGGTTGATCTGCCAGCATACTTCCTGATTCTCCCCAGATTGACTTGTCTTTTCTTCGACGGCAAAGGAGATTGTTTTTGATGATTCTGCTTGGCGATTACGGCGTGCATGTATTCAAGATACCCACATCGATAATAAGGTTTACTTTCAACCTTTTTCCATGAATAACCCCTGTTGCATTCCTGTGTATGTTTTAATGACACCGTTATTTTGCAGCATCCACCAAGTAGGCCTGTTGAGCAATTTGCACGCTCCCACCGCCGCACAGCACAGCACCCGTTTTAAACACGCACCAGCAACATAACCATCAGGCATCCCAAATAAAAAAAAGACCCCGTTCTACATCCATCCCTACTAACTATAAATAACCCCATCTCGCGAGTGAGGCTGTGTGTGTGTTGGTATCTACTAGTATCTACTACTACTAGTACGAGTACACATGTCGCGCTCCTTCCTTTCCCCCCACTTCACTGCACTCCACCACCGTGGCTTAGGCAACCTGAAAGCCGGAAAAAAGTGGGCTTTGCCGACGCCTGACGCTTCCATCTTTCAATTCTCCAGCAACCAGCAAAATAGCGCCACATACTTTATAATTAAACCTGAGCTGTCCCTTCCCCCCCCCCCCCCCCCCCC